ATGCTCTGTCCATCTGCTCACACCCCTCTGCCCCTCTGGGTGATGAATTTGGGTGCTAACCAAGTTGGAGACACCAGGCGGCATGGCTCAGCCCCTCTGCCCAGCAGCACCCATGGGTGACTCTGGGGAGGAAATGCAACTGCCCAGTGCCAAATGGCCACACCGGGACCTGTGCAGGTCCCTGGGTGTTGCCCAAGGGCACGGGGGCCGAGGGCAGCGGAAGCCGGCATGGGCAGCGGTGGTGGCAGCGCTGTCCTCACTGCCGCGTCAGGCTTATGCAATACCACCGCGGGAGAGCCCGGCTTCCACGGCCCCCATCGGCATTGCCGCGGGGCCTGGCACAGCCTCGGCACTCCCGGCGACACCTGGTGCGAATGCCCGTGCACCCCTCAGCTCCTCTTTCCCGGTGGATGGAGCCCGGCAGGAGACCGGCACCCATGGGGGCTTCTTCCACCAATTATAAAATTCATATATTTTATCAGGGTTTTTTTCAGATTCGTTGCAATCCGGTTGATTTTGGTGACCATCAAAAGTTACCGGCACGAGCAGAGGGATCCACCCCGTGCTGGATTTGCATGTTCAGAGGGTTTGGTGGCAGCGCAGGGGGACAACCTAGAAATAACATCTCCCCTGGGGTCTAAGAACGTGGCCCCATGACTCACTTCCAGAATAAATGTTTTCGTTTCCCAAAATCTCCCCTCCCTGGCTGCCACACAACCTGCAGGAGTCCCTGCTGCAGGAGCAGGGCTGGCACTACTTCCTCCACCAGCTGCCTCCTCCTCCTCCTCCTCGGTTGTCCCCCGGCAGAGATGGTAGCTGGGCTGGGTTTGGTGGGGCCGGGGTGGGCAGGGCTGTGCCTAGGGCAGCCCTGGAGGGGTGAAGGAGCCAGGAGAACGTCCTTCTCTCTCTACATCTATTTGAAGTAGTTTGTCCATCTGTCTGTCCGTCTAGACAGTCTGTTAGCCATCTGTCCATATGTCTGCCTGTCTGTCCATCCAACCACCCACCTATCTGCCCATCCACCCGTACATCCCTCCACCTATCCATCAACCTGTCTATCCATCTGTCCGTCATCCATACAATGAACCAACCATCCAACCATCAGTACATCCAGCCACTCATCCAGCCACCTGCCTGTCTGTGCGTACGTCCATCCACCTGTCTGTCCATCTGTTCATCCATCCATCCACTTGTCCACCCATCCCTGCCCTCCATCTATCCACCTGCCCGTCCACCCACCCAGAGGAACTTCCAACCATCTATCCATCCATCTGTCCATCCACCCACCCAGAGGAACATTCGTCCATCCATCCATCCATCCATCCATCCGTCCATCCACCCACCCAGAGGAACATCCATCCATCCATCCATCCATCCATCCATCCATCCACCCATCCACTTGTACATCCATCCACCTGCCCATGCATCCTTCCATCAATCCATCCATCCGTCCATTCATCCATCCCTCCCTCCCTGACCCCTTGGGCCCTCCAGGGTGTGCAAAGCCACGGCAGGACCCCCGAGCACCCTGGCCGGGCCAGCAGGACCATGTGGGCAGAGCGCACCCACCCTCAGGTCCTCACAGCCACAAGCAGCTCTGGCCCCTCCACATGGCACCGTCACCTCCCAGGGCTCCCCACGGGGTCCCTGTTGGGCCGGGAGGAAGCCACCGTGGGCTGCTCCACCAGAGGAAAGCGGGTGGTGGAGGAGTGTGCAATACCCAACGGGGACAAAAATAGCACCGTTGACCGCATGGGACGGCTGCAATTTCTTCATCACTTCGGCGCGCGTCACCAGCGTCTCATGACTCTGGACAAGAGAGCGAGACAGGAAAGAAAGCGCCCGGGGAGGTTGCAGGAACCCGACGGCTTGCAATCGTGCGGGAGCTGACGCAGGGAAGACGCGGCTGGGACCTGGGCACGCTTCCACTTGGTGCCCTGGAGAGCGGGTGACGGTTTTTGGAGACAGGACTGGAGCAGAGCTGCATTCACCCAGTGGTCCAAACCACCAATCAAGGGTGAAAAGACCCTGACAAGGTTCCCACCGTGCTCGCGCTCCCGCTAAGTCTCGCTTGGTGACCAGGCGCAGCCCCTGGGGGCGCCCAGGGGTTGGAGGGCCCACCTGCACGGCCACCGCTGGACCTCAAGTGTGTCACAGCACCTTCCAGGTGCCCCAGGAGGGGACAGCCCCCACCCTGTGTACCCCACTTTGCTGGGGGGTGCCGTGCTGCTGGCAACGGGAGAAGACATGGGGGCACTCAGTTTCCCCAGGGACGGTGACTTGATGGGGGCTGCAGCCTTCACCCCTTTTCTCACCCAAAAAACAGGGCAGGCGATGCCCACGACCATCCTGGTCACCTCACAGCAGGGACAGGGGGAAAGCCATGTCCCCCTGTCACATCCCAGCTGCTCCCCTCCCACCCAGTGCCACCATGCCGGGGACCAGCTCTGGGCCACTCCCGAGCCGTGGGCTATGTGGAAATAAAAATAATAGGACTTTTATTGACTTATTATAAAAACTATGAAAATACAGCTTGGGAGGAGTTGCGGGGGTCTCCATCGTCCCCCCATGATATGCGATGTCCCAGGCAGGGACATGGGGCCACCCCCGAGGGGACACAGAGCTGGGGCTAAACCGTGGCCCCCCCACCTCTGCCTCGGAGATTTTTGGGGTGCAGGAGGGAATCGCAGCTCAGGGGACACTTTCCACCCCCCATAGGGCCAGTCCGGGGGTGCCCCATGGCATCACGGCCACCCCCCCTCACCCGTGGGGACACACACAGGGTGTGGGGACACGTCCCACCATCCCCAGGCTGTGTCACCCCCAACACCGCGGTGCCACATCACCACTCCCTGGCACGTGTCCCCCCGCCACCACCATGTCACCTTCCTCCAGCACGTCCCCGGGGACACCCGCTCCCCTCCCGAGCCCCCCAACCTGGGGGCAGAGGATGGCACAGTGCTGCCCTTCGGCCTCACCCGGGGGGGGGGGCACGGTGGGGACTGCTCCCTCCCCCTCCCCCAGGACACTGTCC